ACATGTTGTTGCAGGGCGTGTTACAGGCCAGTACTACCGGGACAACATCTTGGCAGTCCATGTTGTGCCGTTCGCACGACGTCATGGCCGCCGTTTCATCTTCCAGGATGACAACGCAAGATGTCACAGGGCCAGGATCGTTACAGGTTACCTCCAACAACAGAACATCACCACATCACCTTGGCCAGCACTGAGTCCCGACCTCTCCCCCATCGAGCATGTCTGGGACATGCTTGGACAGAGGTTACGTCAACGTCAACAACGTCCTGCCAATGTCCAAGAACTTGCTGCTGCGTTGCAACAGGAATGGGACAATCTGGACCAAAATGACCTTAGACGTCTCATTACACGTCGGATCAATGCTTGTTTGGCAAACAGAGGAGGATTTACCCGTTACTGACTTGGTTGTGATGCTGTGGTAACTTTGCTGTTTGACCCCGGGTATCATTTTACCCTTATAATGGTCAGTCTGTGCCTTACTTAGTCTAACGATCATTTGGAATAAATCGATGAATGTGAACTTCATTTCATTTTGTCATTTGTTTCTTCGTCAGTTTCATTAGGTGACTTTAATAACACTTAAAAATCAAATATCCCCTACTTTTTTTGAATAGTATATGTTGTTTTCTATTCGTGATACATTGTTAAAAAATTAAAGTTTACAATATCCATCATTATCCCACCACTATTTATTGTACATACTGCACACAGCGATCCACCTACGTCATGCCGGAGCTAGCTGTAGTTAGGCAGCCCAAGTTTGGGATGTTTATTGTAATGTATTGAAATGGAATTTAAAAAAAAAAGTCTATGAAAACAGCCATTCCGGCAAAGGATGCGCTCTATCATAATTTATCCCAAATTATAATCATACTATCTTCGTGCGTTACAATACAATATTTCGACAAACATTTTCCTAGTAATGTAAACTAAGAATTTAATAAAGTATAGTGGGCATAACTTGCTTGCAATGTTAGGAATTCGACATTTAAAATTTTTGGCAGTGGATGGCATTCCATAAATTGAAAATTCATGCTATTAGGCGAATGTGAGTTTTCCATAATTTGAGCGGGGAGTTAAGTTTTCACATAGCCAAGTATATGTAAAATAGAGCCTTTGAATACCAATTTAAGGTAAAACACTTGGTTAAGTGGAAAAATTAAGTATTTTTACTTAACTTTTAGAAAACCTTTGAATACGGACCCTGGTCTACACAACCAGTTATCTTCCTTTGACTAGTGCTCTTTTAGCACAACTAAATTATTAGTTTATTCCCGATTCTGCTATGAAGTTTGAGATAGCTTCATAAAACTTATATGACATTATGAGGGGGGAAGAGTACATTTTGGAGGGTATATTTAAGTTTGGCATTTTCCATTAAAAACTTCGTAAAGGGAGTCTTGTCCAATTTATTGCACGCAATGATGACATGAATAACAGTCAAATTGTGGCAACATTCGCACTTCACTGGGTTAAATTTATGGTCGGTAATTAAATGCTCAGTTCTTTAATCTTGTGATTAACCCACAGATAAAAATGAAACCGGTTCTTACAGGCCGGTAAGTTTGACCTCTACGTTGTGTAAAAAAACTCGAGACGTTAAGATAGGGAACTACATATCTAGTTACAAAGAAGGAACTATTGTTGTAGGACAGTATGGCGGATCAGCCTGCTGCTCGATTTAATATACAAGGAAAACTAATAACAAAATAAAGGAATAGGGACCTACACAACCATTATTAACAATGACAGTGAACATCAATCAATTTAACCCGAGTTTAAAAATGTATTTATTCCTATTAATGGTTCAATTTGTCTTATTGTTTATTTTTTTTTTTAATTAATATTTTTTGTGTATTGCTGCTGGCCCTTCTTTTTCTTTTCAGGTAAATTTGTATCCGTGAAGAGCCGTACGCAAGTAAAACTCGAATGGGATGCCTACAACTTTTTGGGATGCCTACAACTTTTAAGTCAGTTAATTTTTAACATGGAACTTATCGGGCGAACACTTTTAAAATGTAAATAATCTACGGGTCCAGCTATGTGGTTTTTACGGCGAGCACTTCTCTTTCCACATAAAGCCAGCGGATTCTTTTTCCCAACGGGTTTTTTTTTCTATCCGCTCTGATGACGCCAAACATCAGTCAGTTGGACCTCCTGTTTCAACTTTATTATGACAAAGGGAGAAGATTATCCGCCCTCTCTTCTCACGACAGCGAATTTATAATAGTGCTTCAAGGAACCTTTTGGTACCCGAGAACCCTTTTTATTTTCTGTTTTTAACAATTTTCAACTGTAAATAATTTAATTAAATCAACCTGTCCATAATATCATATTCATTGTATTGGACGTTAAATCTGTAATAAACCGCCTTGGACCGAGTGGTCTTTGGTCCAACTGGTCATGGATTCACACTAGTAACAGCAATAAAATTAATAAATGGTTGCCTTTGATTTTATAAAACCAAACCATTTTGTTGTTGATGTTTTATGATAAAAACAATCCTGAACATGGCCTTCTCTTTAAATTTTGCTCTCGATTATGAACACACTTTTGGCGTTTCTAATATTTCTATAATTACTAGATATTTTGTAATATTTATCTACGTAATATTAGGTAGATTTTTTATGTCATCGCTCCACCCATCAACGAAAGTATAAGGGTCGTCAAGCTTGGTTCCGTTTTTTTAATGTTAATTTATAGTCATATTGGGTTTTTGTATCGTTTGCGGTAAGACCTTTATCTAATAAACATAGGCCCATTCTCCACGCAAGTCTCGCTATCCAGTAGTGCAGAACCTTGAATAAGGCTCTGCAGTAGTGTGGACTGCAAGGGAAGACAACTCTGTTTGTAGGGTGACCCACCATAAATAAATATCTCCATATATCTCGACAATTTCGCCACAATATTTATATATATGCCAAGCCTCAAATCAGTTTCACACAATTATAGTCACTAAATAAACGATCATGTTGTACTTAATAAGCTATGACCATTAATCATCTATAAATAATAGACTGAAAACTGGTTCCATGTGTCGTCCATAACATCCAGACACTTTTGAGTAAAAGATAGGTTACGTGCCCTTGTTTTGAAATTAGTCTCGCTTAACCAGTCTATCGACCATTCTAGGGCTGATTGACAGGTCGGGATAATTAAGACTACTTTTTTACGAAACATAACAGAAAGCTAGAACAAGAAATTGAATTTAGAAATGAGCACGTTAGCTAGCTCAACAATTGTTTTAAGAAGCTTGTAAAAGTAAAATGAAACTACTGCTAGTATCATGTTCCTGTCTAACCCGAGTGTTTCAGAGATATTAATGTACTAAACCAAAAGATGCCACTCTTAACGGTACAGTTAATGATAAAGCGATTTAAAAAATGAAACGAACGTAATTTCTAAATCTGCTGTAATAACCAAGAAGCTTAATTTTACTGCTATTCAAAATCGTCAACAATAATTTTTTTACGGCTGTAATAGTTGATAGATTTGTAGAGAATTGCACGTGCCATGCCTATTTATAGTATCATACTGTCAGAAAGTTGGCCTCGACACGGCGAATGTGCACGCTTCAGTGGTAGTCTCGAACTATCAGCGGTTGGCTGTATTTCTGTAGGTGCGTGGGTCACCCTACTGTTTGGGAGATAGACATAGGCCTAGTAAATATCGCGCGAAATTGCCCATGCATGCGTGCGCAACTTACCGCGAATAAGATTACGCATGCCTATTGACTTGTAAAAATAGGCGCGCAACCGAATCTTGGTGTCTTACTAATACCTACTAGTTTTCTTAGTGTATTTTAAGATTTACAAATTACAGGCCTGCATTGCATCAAAGTCGACATCCGCAGTAGTCGGCATGGTAAGTAACAAAAGCAGCGTCCTTGGATTAATCTAGACAATTTCTAAACTGTTGGCCTTCAGCCTACGGCTACACTGCAGGTTGAGGGTACAGGATAGCATAGATAGATGATAGAGAGCCATACCAACGTGCCAACCCAAACTTGGTACACTCATGACACTGTCCCTTGATCAGATTGTCATTTTTAAGTTTTTCATTATCAAACTGAGTGATCTACCATAAATACTCATTCCAAAAGGACTCATTGTTCCAATACCTACATTTGAAATGTAATTTCAATTGGCCTTAAAATAAATTAAAAATGGGCCATTTGAATTTGACCTTAAAAAGTCAAACTCAAACTAAGTCACAAGTGCCATGGCCCATATAGGAAAAGCCAAGGACTATTACTATTGTCATTGTTTTTTTTTCTCCCCAGGCATAGTACTTTCGTCGTTGTTCTACTTCTAGAGCTTCTCGATGTGTGCTTCTCTTATGTTATTGTTATGGGGAGTTGTTGGGAGACCGAATGGTTAGCATAGTTAGCACGTGCGCACTGTATCATATAAAGCCTGTCATTGAGTCAACTGGCGTGGTTTCGAATCCCGGTTGTGTGTGACAAGTTGAAGGGTCGCCTGTCCAACCTCGTAAGTTTTCTCCCTGTCCTCCGGTTTCCTCCCACTGCTCACTGCAGCTATTGCTAAAGACCCCTACACGCAAACGAATTATTGCAATAAAATTAAACCATATGATTGTTAGTCCCGAAATGACCTAGTTTGTGTCGAGTGTACGATAAATGTTAAAGTTAAACCAATTTCTCTCTCTCTAGTCTCATGTTACCAGTATGTATTTACAGTATTAGGCTAGTTTATTAATATTTTCCATTTAACATATCTGAGTGGTTGATTGTTTTCCAACTTCGAAGATAAAATGCATTTGGCTTCAACATTGTGACGTCTCACCTCACTGTGTGCTTTTATGATTTATTAAAAATTATTAATATATACTGTTAATTAAAGAAGGCTTTCATTTCTGAAAAAAAATAATTATAGATATTAAAATTCAATTTGAGATAGGACTTTGACTTTAACTAGCATTATTCAATAAGCATTTAAGTTTTTTTTATTGGTTTCTGACGAAGATAAATACCCCCCAAAGGTCGGAATGATCATATTCTATATCAGATATTTCATTTCAGAATGGAATAACAATTAAAGGAAAAATTTTATACGAGTTGCAAGTAGCCAAGTGCTATATTTACACGCACATTGCAACCCCAGATTCCGTCTATAAACTAATTATTAATGAACCAAACAGCAAACAGTACCATAGCACATAATAAAAGATAGATTTTTGATCATCAAGAACTGTTCCTTTTCTGTCGATATGTACAGAATCAGTCCACACACTGAGGTAAGACATTACTTGCTCAACTAGGGAACAATTCCTTACAAATTCTTTTGATATCTATATGCCCATCTTTTCATAAACACGTGGTGTGGTGCCATCGCCCTGTCCATCAATCCATGTGTCCATTCAGATTTTGCTTGTGGAGGCTACAAAGATAACAATTTATAATATTATATGTGGCCCACATTTCCATGTAGATGTAATGTCATCGACCTGTCTATCGGCCTATCCTACAGATCACAATTTTTATCCGAATGTGATGAAACTTGAAGTATAGATTTATCTCTCCAAGAGCTTGGTTCCTTTGATTATTAGCGTTGTTTGTACTCGAGCCTAATTTTATGGATTAGGACCCCTGTGTACAAAAAATCATGTTTACAGCTTGTGAATGGTCTAGAGGTCACAATTTTCGTCCAGTTTTCACAAGCAGTGGCCATGTAAGATCCGCCCTCAATTTGCAAGAGAGGAACAAAACAAACTAAAATAAAAAGTGATTTTACGTAAAATCAGGGCCAATAATCCAGAAAATCACAAGTATAATCCTCAATGATACAGACTATTTTATTTCAGATATTTCAAACCAAACCCTTTCCCATTAACCAGGATAAAGTAAACAATTTTTATGATCCGCAGCTAATCTCAGTTCCTGATGCCCTATCCTCACCCAAAAAATCAAGGGTCAGCGTTAGTGGATACATTGCAAAAGTAAGAACTACTATTTTTTAAAATAAACACCCACGAGGCATGAAATTAACTGCAAAAGGGGGTATTAAATTAGAATCTATTGAAACAATAAGTATAAATGTCATCAGGTATCTGAAAAATTACATTTACCTTATGAACAAGATGGGGAAAAATACATAACAAAAATTGTCGTGTTGTGGCTACCCTCAAGGCATATTTAGAAACCAGTATATTATATACAGAGTAGGTTATTTCTTGAATCCCAGGAATCTGACCTATCCGTATATATATGCATACACCCTACCGTACCAGACAATATATAATTAAAAAAAAGAACAGGAATGCAATGCCTTTTGAAGACTCGATTTTACCCGCTCTCGCTTCGTCTCGTTTTTTTCAACAATTCATAATGTCAGGCAATCAAACCTCTGTCGATTCACTCATGTTTTTTTCTACAATCCAGTTGTTTTGATTTGCATAAATACTCCCACAAAACGATACCCACTTGTTCCCAATGTTTACATTATTTTCGTCCATTTCCAATTTGTCCTCGACTCCATGCGCTGACGTCACACAAAACACCGAACACAAATTTGCACCTATTCGGCTAGCGACCTATTCGACCGATCCAGCTGGCAACCTGTTCGTTGGCAACCTATTCAGAACAAAGGAATGGATAAAAAAATAAATATTTTACTTTCATTGGATTTTGTTGGATTTATTAGTTGATGAAATTAGATGAGTTTGGGCTACTGTTGTCTTTGTTTTGAACAGGTTGCCAGCGGGATCGGTCGAATAGGTTGCTAGCCGAATAGGTGCCAATTTGTGTTCGGTGTTTTGTGTGACGTCAGCGCATGGAGTCCTTTTGTGTGACGTCAGCGCATGGAGTTGAGGACAAACGTCAACGAGCGAAAATAATGTAAATATTGGAATTAAGTGGCTATGGTATCGTTTTGTGGTAGTATTTATGCAAATCAAAACGACTGGATTGAAGAAAAAACATATCTGAGTGAATTGACAGAGGTTGGATTGCCGGACATTACAAATTGTTGGAAAAAAAACCCAGCCGAAGCGAGAGCAGGTAAAATAGGGTCTTCCAAAGGCAATGTATTCCTGTTCTTTTTTTTATTATATATTGTCTGGTATGACATGGTGTATGCATATGTATACTGATAGAAGGTCAGAGTCCTGTGCTTGAATAGACCTTTTAGTAGCTTTGCGTACGCAGGACAGGAAGTAGTTGTGCTTCAATGTAAACAGACCTGTTCCTTGCATTCAGTTTTAGAGTTAGGTGTGATTTTCAAAGGATTCAATTTTAAACAATTCAGCCTCTAGAGCATCAACAAAATATTAACTTTTCCCTCCAGACAGTCTACAAGATATTTCAAATTGATCAAGGGCCATAACCCTGACGGTAATTATTGGAGATAATTCAAAATCAAAAAGCATCTTCCTCTCATGACCTTAAACACTGTGAATAAATATAAAGTCAATCAGATATTAAATTTAGCCTCTAGCGCGTCATATTTCGAAGTAATCAGGGGTCATATATATATCTGGTAGTATTTATTAATTATCGGAAATTGTTGAAAATCAATAAGCATAAACAATATTTATAAATTGAGTCAATCATATATTAACTTTAGCTTTTAGAGCGTCCAAAAGATATATCAAAGTGATCAAGTGAGCCATAACTCTGGCAGCAATTATTTCCATTCAAGTCTATGGCAGGACCAGGCTTGTTTACATTTATTTTAATGCACCATATCCCGTGATTCCAAAAACTCCTAAATGGTCTATAGTAAAACTAAACTGTTGGTGACATTTAGACTATAATCTATAATAATTTGTCATATTAAAATCAACCATGACATTTTCAGATCAATGACACAGTTTCAACAGGGACCACAAAGAGAAAATTCATCTCTCTTAGCCCACAGAAAACACAGGATGATAAGGCAAAACCAATCCAGTTGAAGCTCTGGGGCCCGAAGGCCACACTCACCGTAGCCTACCACCAATTGGTTCTCGTGTTGTTGTAAAAAGCGTTGTGGTGAATGAATACCACGAAACCAATGACCTAAATTCGACGCCACAAACTGAAATATTAGTAAATATAGAACATGTATTTAATAGCATATTAACTAGCTAACTTACCGCACCCAAGTCCAATGGTTACTTTTCACTCTAATGACCTCCAACCTATTTCATTTTTTCAGACAAGAGGAATTTAGAATACCTTCTCACTAAGCGCCCTCAAGAAACTTCATGCTTGACTTTCCCTTAGTTGATCATTTTTCTTAAATAGCAATAATAAAAATGTTTAAGTACCCCTTCACACTTGTATCTTGTGCTGATTATTCTCATTCTCCTTCACCTTGCTAATATAAGTCAATGGACTTGGCAAGTGACCTGTAAATAATTGAGTCATATTTATCAAATTAACAGTACACTTATGACTTTAATTATACACCTGTTTAATGAAATATGCATTATGCAAGATTTAGATAAAGAGCTGGCCAATATTGATTCAAAAATGATAAGATTTAGAACTTACATAATGCATCTTTAACTGATATACAAACACAAAATAAAGAACCCTGTCTGGCCAGGACTTATATCATAGGGGGGGGGGGGGGCTTACATGTACTTTCAGCAACAGAGGGGGAGGGTTATCTGGCTTCAACTGAATCTACCTCCTCAAACTCAACCAACTAGTAGCAGCCAGTTGCACATGCTTAACTTGCTGCAAACAGTTGCAGTCGACACAAGTGTTCCTAGAAGTGGCAACTCATTTCACTGGATATAAGATCATGTGATGGGAGACGTGTCATGTGACTTACAAATAAACAAAATGGTACTCCCTTTTTTAAAATGTTGATGTCGACAATAATATACTAATAGAATGGTGGTAAGATTGACCATGTCTTTGGGGTGCTTCTTCTAAGGTATTTGCCATTTTTTTGATGAAGTGATTGATAAATTAACAGTCACATGTTAAGTGTGGTTCCGAGTTGACATGAGGACCTGATACAATCAGCATACTTGCAACGTGTTGCTGTGTGTTGCAAAGTAGACATAAGCCCCCACACCTGTCATTATGTTTAGTGGCATGCTTCGAATCCCACACTTTTAAAAACCTCATTTTGATAGCCTTGTTTGCCTGACTTTGTAGTTTTTTGGGGGTGGGTCTTCCCACTGCTAAAGAGCCCTAAGCACAAATTAATTATTGAAATAAAATTGTATTATATATTACTACCAGATCAAACTTGTTTCTGTTCAGTGGAAGTTAAAACCCTCATTACTCCCTCTCTTTTAGGAATGTGATGAAGAAGAACCGTTTAAAGGGTCCGTTGAAGGCATTGGTTGGCAACAGTAAGTATTTACAATACAACTTGAAGCTTTTCAGTTTCAACATAAAACACCTAAATATGAAACATATTAAAGTTAAATTACAGTTAACACAAGGTTATATTACATACGATATGTAATTACCCTATTTCCTACCGGGACCTCATTTGACCCAATTCTGGCTGATTGTATCAAAATGGAGTATCAAAATGGATTAAGATCCCTGCTCTTAATCACAAATGCAAAATATTTTCCTGAATTATTTTCCCCCCAACCCCATTCCATTATTTTGGAATTAAACACAGCTTTAATAAAGATGCATTATTCAAGATTTACAGGGCTTACTATTCTTGCTACATTAGATCCATAATAGATAATGCAAAATTTCAAATTACTTTATTCTGAGTAAAGTTATCAGTTTGAAATTTTGATAAGACGTGTATAGTGTATGATGCATACTGAATTCTGTGTCCGAGATTGTGTATTTTGATTCTTGAGTTAAAAAAGTGCCATAAATACAGCTTAAAATATTAATTTTATTTTATCTATTAATAAACAATATATGTCCACGGTTTTAAATGGCAGTTTTATATATTTTTGACACATTTTCATGTGGATGTATATTGTTGTCGCCCCTGTCAGTCCATACGTCAACAATTGTTTGTGAACACTCTACAGGTCACAATTTTTATCCGATTTCGATGTAACTTGAAATATAGATTTATCACCATAAGACCTCGGTTCCTGTCGATATTGGCATGTATCAGACTGTAACTTTATGGATTATGGCCCCTGATTGCACGAAAAATCACGTTTTTAGCTTGTGAACACTGTCGAGGTCACAATTTTAATCTGATTTTGATGAAAATTTAAATGCATGTTTATAACCCAAAGATCTTGGTTCCTTTCAATATTTGTGCACATCGGATCGTAACTTCCTGAATTATGGCCCCTGATTATACGAAAAATCGCCATTTTTTGCTTGTGGTCCCTCTGGAGGTCACAATTATTATCCGATTTAAAAAAAACCGTTTGATTATATAACTGCTACACCGTAATGAAGGTCGAGTTCAAATTTCGTGACCATCGGACCAAAATTGCCGAACAAAATGGCCGCCACTTCTATACCAATAGTAGAAAAGTATGGTATATCAAGGTTGTGGACCCTTTAGAGGTCAAAATTTTAATCCGAATTTGATGAAACTTGAAATGCATGTTCATAACCCAAGGATCTTGGCTCCTTTTGATATTTGTGCATATCGGATCGTATGGCCCCTCAAAATCGCCTACTTTAGCTTGTGGTCCCTCTGGAGGTCACAATTATTATTTCCGATTTAAAAAAAACCGTTTAATTATATCACCGTTACACCGTAATGAAGGTTGAATTCAAATTTCGTGAAAATCGGCCAAAACTGTCTAACAAAATGACCGCCGCTTGTACGTGTCAAAATATGGTATATCAAGATTGTGAACCCTGTAGAGGTCACAATTTTAATTCGATTTTGATGTAACTTGAAATGCATGTTTATAACCCAAAGATCTTGGTTCCATTCGATATTTGCACATATCGAGTTGTAACTTCATGAATTATGGCCCTTGATTGTAGGAAAAATCACTTTATTTTTAGCTTGTTCTCTATCCAACTCTTGTATGTGGGCGAATCCTGCCTGACAGCCGCTGGTTTCTTTAAGGCAAAATTTGGTCAATTTAAAATGTGTATCATGATGCACCTGTATGACTGGGCTATGACATGATACTGTATTATATAGTGGCACAGCATATCATTTTAGCCCTATCCAATAGATGCCAATATCGAAAGGAACCCTACCTATATCTCAAGTTTCATCAACATGGATAAAAATTGTGACCTGCAGAGTGTCCCCAAATAAAATGTGAACGGACATGCGGATTGACAGGGGCAACGACTGAAAATGTGGACGTATAAAAATATTGCCCCTGATTTACACAAACATCTGGTAAAAATTGGTGTATCTTGCATGCATGGCAACTAGTTACAGTAAACTTCACATAAGTCAGATCTAAGTGGACTGACTAATTTTATCCGAGTTAACCAAAGATCTGAGTTAGCCGAAGATCGAAATTCAATCTTAGCTCAATTACAGTAAATCTACAAGAGCCAGGTAATTGATTCAAATGCACATTTATCAAAAATACAGACATCAAAAAGGTATTTTTATACGCCCACATTTTCATGTGGACGTATATTGTCGTCTCCCCTGTCCGTCCACAATTGTTTGTGAACTCACTACAGGTCACAATTTTTATCCGATTTCAATTAATCTTGAAATATAGGTTTATCACCATAAGATCTCGGTTCCTTTCGATACTGGCATATATCGGGCCGTAACTTCATGGATTATGGCCCCTGATTGTACGAAAAATCACGTTTTAAGATTGTGAACACTGTAGAGGTCACAATTTTGAACCGATTTTGATGAAACTTGAAATGCATGTTTATAACCCAAAGATCTTGGTTTCCTTTGATATTTGCGCTTATCGGTTTGTAACTTCCTGAATTATGGCCCCTGATTATACGAAAAATCGCCATTTTTAGCTTGTGGTCTCTCTGGAGGTCACAATTATTATCCGATTTGAAAAACCGTTTGATTATATCACCGTTACACCGTAATGAAGGTCGAGTTCAAATTTTGTGAAAATCAGACCAAAACTGCTGGACAAAATGGCCGCCACTTGTACGCGAATAGTTTAAAAATATGGTATATCAAGGTTGTGGACCCTGTAGAGGTCACAATTTTAATCTGATTTTGATGAAACTTTAAATGCATGTTTATAACCTAAAGATCTTGGTTCCTTTGGATATTTGCGCATATCGGAGCATAAATTTCTAATTTTAGCACTGATAATACGAAAAATCACCATTTTTAGCTTTTGGTCCCTCTGAAGTTCACAATTGTTTATATCAGTTTATCACCAATACACCTTAATGAAGGTCGAGTTCAAATTTCGTGAAAATCGGACCAAAATTGCAAGACAAAATGGCCGCCGCTTGTACGCGAATTGTGTAAAAATATGGTATATCAAGGTTGTGGACCCTGTAGAGGTCACAATTTTAATTTGATGAAACTTGAAATGCATGTTTATAACCTAATGATCTCGATTCCTTTCGATATTTGCACATATCGGATCGTAACTTCCTGAATTATGGCCCCTGATTGTACAAAAAAAATCGCCTTTATTAGCTTGTGCTCCATCTGGATGTCACAATTATTACCTGATTTAAAAAAACGTTTGATTATGATCTCGATTCCTTTCGATATTTGCACATATCGGATCGTAACTTCCTGAATTATGGCCCCTGATTGTACAAAAAAAATCGCCTTTATTAGCTTGTGCTCCATCTGGATGTCACAATTATTACCTGATTTAAAAAAAACCGTTTGATTATGTCATAGGTACAGCGTAACGGAGGTTCAGTTCGAATTTCGTGAACATCGGACTAAAATGGCCAAACAAAATGACCGTCGCTTGTACGCGATTAGTGTAAAAGTATGGTATATCAAGGTTGTAGACCCTTTAGAGGTCACAATTTTAATCCAATTTTGATGAAACTTGATATGCATGTTTATAACTCAAAGATCTTGGTTCCTGTTGATATTTGCGCATATCGGATCATTTCCCTGATTGTACGCAAAATCGCCTATTTTAGCTTCTCTGGAGGTCACAATTATTATCCGATTTAAAAAAAGCATTTGATTATATCACTGTTACGCCATAAGGAAGGTGAATTCGAATTTCCTGAAAATATCGAATTGTAACTTCATGAATTATTGCCCTTGATGGTAGGAATAATCACTTTCTTTTTAGCTTGTTCTCTATCCATCTCTCGTATTGGGCGTATCCTGTCTGGCAGCCGCTGGTTATTGATGAATTGCATATTGAATATTCAATATGCAAAAAATGATTCCAAGATTTTGTTAGTATAGATAACTACCAGTTTGTCGACGGTAGTCTATTGAAATCTTTGAAAAATGTCCTAAATTTTCCAAGAAAAGTGTCCCGTACAGCAGAAAGTGAGTTTCGAATTTTCTTGAAAATTCTATTATTGTGTCACGTCAAATAGGCAGATACGAGTCAAAATGACAAGGAAAAGTATTTTAGGGCTCTGTGCAGGGAATACCTAGCCACATTTTACAGCATCAGGACAAAACTGACTTACCGAAGGAAAAAATACGGAAATAGATAAATGGACCGAACATTTTGATCCCGACTTGAGAAAAGATCAGACTTAATAAGAAAAACGTGTAGAATCAAAGGGTCCAATAGATTTTACACAAATTGAGCAAAGATCTGACTTATGCAAAGTTTACTGTATTTGTGAAAAAAATATTGGCAAACTTATATTTTCCTATCCTAGGCCAGATACAATCTTGATGATTAGCTCATATTCACTGACTGTTAAAACAACATTGTTAACAGAAATCTCAAGATTTGATACCCTAGACCTGATTGGAATGAATGTAGCAGGCATGAGAAAAGGAATCCGAATTACCAACATGTAAGAAATATAATTACTAAAAAAAAATTACCTTTTGTCACAGACACTTAAAGTTTTTTTATTTTTAAATCAGCCAAAAACTAAATTGTCAAAATTTATTTAATACCAAACATTTAACTTATGATGAATAAATGTGTCCGGGAAATCATTCCTGTGTCAACTTCTGCATGAAATATGAAGAAAAATCTCTTTATATATACTCCTAAATAATTTCATTTAAAATTACATTGACAATTTCAGTAAAGTCATTCCCCAGCAAACAGAAAAACAGAAAGTAAGTATTCTTTTATTTTCAATATCCATACAAATTTAAAGATAGGTTGCCAGGTAATAAAACTTAAGGCCACAGCAACTAAATCGTCCAAGTGGGTGATAAGAAGTATCACATATTCTTACTCCTGTAGGTAATGGGGCGGCATTTACAAGACAATTTTATACAGATCAAATTATAATTTTTTGTTGTTTGTGGGTGCAAAAGGTTTTACATATTGAAACAAGGGCCTTAACTCTGGAAGCAATTTACACAGGCTTTTTCCTAATTTAAATAAAGTACATAAATTTTATACAGACTATACTTTTGTCATTTGAATATTCACAAAATCGCCATTGTCAGCTTGTGGTCCCTGTGCAGGTCACAATTATTATCCAATTGAAACTACCATTTGTTGATATCTCCATTACACCATAATGAAGGTTGAGTTAGAATTTCGTGAAAATCTGACCAAAACTACCAGACAAAATGGCCACCACTTGTACACGAATAGTGTAAAAATATGTTGTATCAGGGTTGTGGACTCTGTAGAGGTCACAATTTTGATCTGATTTTGATGAAACTTTAAATGCATGTTAATAACCCAAAGATCATAGTCCCTTTTGATATTTGCGCATATTGGATCGTAACTTCCTGAATTATGGCCCCCGATTATATGAAAAATCGCCATTATTAGCTTGTGGTCCCTCTGGAGGTCACAATTATTAATCGATTTAAAAAAACGCTTGATTATATCACGGTTACACTGTAATGAAGTTTGATTCAAATTTCGTGGAAATCGAACCAAAACTGGCGGACAAAATGGACGCGCTTGTACGCGAATAGTATAAAAATATAGTATATCAAGGTTGTAGACGTCACAATTTTAATGAAACTTTAAATGCATTTTTATAACCCAATGATCTTTATTCCTTTCGATATTTGCACATATCGGATCGTAACTTCCTGAATTATGGCCCCTGATTGTACGCAAAATCGCCTATTTTAGCTTGTGGGTCCCTCTGGATTATTTTAATTAATGTAGTACAAGAAAGAAGTCTATTGAATTTCAACAATTTTCCTTCATTATTTCTAGAATTATAACCCTAGTTTCAATTTGAAGAACCCTGTGAATTCTTTTTATCAACAAAACTGATGATTCGATCTGAATGAAATTGTTGTGCATATTATTTACATCAGGGAAACCAAGAAGCCAATGTAATTTCAACCATTTCTGTTCATTACTTCTAGAGAGTTATTAATCCTATCTTCATTTTGTTGAACCTTGTGAACACCTGACGACAAAATATCATCCAATATGTATGTGCGCATATGTTTCATTGCCTGTCAACCTATCGATTACCAACCTGTCCACAATTACTGTCAGTGAAAAAAACGCAACAAGTATTTTAATCTCAGTTTGAACCATTGCGCTTATGAAAAGATGATCCCCATCAATATGTCACATCCGTCATAAAATGAAGATGTATGAAATTCTTGCGGATTAAAGAAGTGTATAAGCAGAATTAAACCAGTTACTCAGAGTAAAACATTATTGAATGTCTCTTTTACTTATGATCAGTATGAAAATCAAACCAAAATGGCCGCCCGTTGTACGCGAAAAGTGTAAAAATATGGTATATCTTCAAGTTTGTGGACCCTGTAGAGATGACAATTTTAATCCGATTTTGATGTAACTTGAAATGCATGTTTATAACCCAAAGATCTTGGTTCCTTTCGATATTTGCGCATATCGAATTGTAACTTCATGAATTATGGCCCTTGATTGTAGGAAAAATCACTTTCTTTTTAGCTTGTTCTCTATCAATCTCTTGTATGTGGGCGTATCTGCCTGACAGATGCTGGTTATAGTTTTTGTTTTATTTTATTTTACATACAGTTTGTACTTCATTACATTTATAGAGCCCGGGTTGGCACTTTTCACTTTAGACGCTTTTAGTTAAATTAACCAATCATAAAAATTCTACTTGCAAGCGAGGAATTACATGTATTTCTTTATTGTCCAATCAATAGACGCCTTCCAATTTACTTTATTCTATTCTTAGTAACATTGTGTAATCGTAATAAGATTTAAGAAGATTTTTTATAATTTTTGTTTTATTTTACATACAGTTTGTACTTTTGCTAGACTATTCTTTGTTACATTTATAGAGCCTGGGTTGGCACTTTTCACTTTAGACGCTTTTAGTTAAATTAACCAATCAAAAAAATTCTACTTGCAAGCGAGGAATTATTTCTTTATTGTCCAATCAATATAGACGCCTTCCAATTTACTTTATTCTATTCTTAGTAACATTGTGTAATCGTAATATTATCGCCATATATGTCACGTACAACAGTAAATATGGCAGGATTTAAGGGCCAAAACTAAATGTATGTTGAAAGTGTTATTATACATCATAGAAAATACCTAATACCTAAGATGCAAAATACATATGTCATTATACTTATAATGATGAATACATAATACTGTTAAAGTAAAAGTCAAATGTCAAATTACAATTGCTGGCAGGCCAGTAAAAACTTTAAAACATTGTTGAATGAACCATTTTAAAATTAATCATCGTAATTAAAGAACATTTCATTAAATGGACTAATCGTTTTGTTTTCATGAAATGAGCTCCTTAATAACAATTTATAACAAAGAACAGATACAAAATCAAAGTAAAATTTAAATTTTCTTTCAAAAGGTTATCGTACATTATGATCATTTAATATATTAAATCTTTCCAAATATAATATACAGTTTCCATACATTTAAATTGGCGCAAGATTGCATTAATTGATAATAACAAGTAAAGCCGTAAAGTCAAAATAAATACAACCCGATGACCTTTTACCTCAAGAACTCAAGATGCAAAAGACAGATGTCATTTTGCAAAGTTGCTTTGTTGAAGTGTTTATGTGAAAAGGTTGTGCACATTAGTGGATTTTTTCCAAAAAACATTTGTAATTTGACTTTTACTTTAACGGTATTATGTATTCATCATTATAAGTATAACGACATATGTATTTTGCATCTTAGGTATTAGGTATTTTCTCTGATGTATTATATTAACACTTTTAACATACATTTACTTTTGGCCCCTAAATCCTGCCATAGGGAAACAGAGTATTGTTTTGTATATTATCGTAGATATATAATTAATTAAAAATATTTCAAATGAACCAAGTTAACTAGGTAAACATAAGTACGGCCTTAGTTTAAATTTTCATTAAAGGATTGTACATTTCTTTGAAAAAATTCCTGAAATTTTTGCGCATGTCATGTAATGCCTTTCAGGCGAGTATAACGTGCGCACGATTTAATGACTCGCACCTCCTGACAAGCTCTGTTTTATGTTTAAAATTGATACCATACGTTAACCGATTACTTACCGGTTAATAGCACGAATTATCGTTATTAAAAATATTACAAAGAAAAATAAAGAAATTTTAAAAAAATATTGTCATTACTTATCACTTAATGCTATGTTAAAAAAAATGGAATTATTAAAATGCATCTGTTCGTCTCGTCACCTACCCGAGTCCGAAACGTCGAGGCCATATTTTTGAGAGTCCGAAATGACGCAGTACCGAAATGGCATGTAATCGTCAATAATAACTTTCAATTCGGACACCCTGACTCAGGTACAAGGAGGGTTGCATCCGTGACCGCGGATCTTCTAAGAATACCTTGATGAAAAGGCTCAGATTTAACATGCCACTTTGTGGACCATAATCCAATCTTCCTGTCATTACTGTCATGGTGTAAATACTATTGTAAAATCGGGTATTTATCTGCCTCTAGGCCCGCCGGTTTACCCACCTAACCTGTGATGGCTAGAGTAAGGCTTAATGGGTTATGACAGGGCGACAGACAGACAGGTAACTAAACTATACAAAGCAGCCACTACACTAATACCTTCATGCAACAGATAAGCAGATACTTCAGCTATAGTTATATATAAATAAAGCGTCTACTCACTACGATTAATCAAATGAATAAATAAACACTAATAATGATCTGGAACATCCGTGGACTTCTTGACTATCTTGTTGAATTAGCGCGAATGAAGGAGATTAAGGGTGTGAAATAGCTTTAACCGGGCACGTGCATAGACCACGGACGGGCTGGTCCATTCTGGCAAAAGGGGCCCCAGCTCACGTCTTGCTGCAACAATACGAATCAACTTTTAACGGAAAAATTATCAAATAACCCTTCCAGTCGATACAGAGTATAGGGGCTTTACTATCAAACTAATCTAATGACTAAACTTGATTGTACAAAGCAAGGGCGTGGATTTGTCATAACTTTTGGGGGTGGACGGACGAACCCTGGAACCTTTTATTACCAAACCAAAATAACAATTACGAACAATTTACCAGTTGTAACTAGGGGTAATATGATGACGACATGGAAAAATTGACTACCTACAATTAAAGAGGAAGATATCTGAAGAGGCGAAAAGTAGAAATTATGAATGGTATATAGGCTTCCATAGTTATGTATTCACATACATTTAATTATGTGTTGGCCTATTAAAGTGACATGGCCTTATGAACACGAAATCGAGGTTGAGGGAAGATAACTCTCGAGTTCGGGTTGGATGCAGACCACCATTAATTTTCCCATTGACTTCAATGTTAATTCTGGCCTCTTTGCCCACCTCCAACTTTTCCCAAAAGTTTCGTTGGGCTGAAGGGCTTTTCACTACAGACAGAGCAACAAATGGCCATGTCTTTGCACTAAAATTTGTATGAGGTTGACCACCAAAATTTTGAGATACACAAACTTGAAGAAGCATATTAAAAACATGTAACTAATTGCCGGAGACAACCTGATAACTCGGTTATCCTTCCGCCTCAAAATCATGAATATTTACCAAAACCTGGCAGAAAATATTAATTCAAACCCTCTTTGTCCATTCTAGACCACAAAAAAATCAACAAAAATGGGCATGCAAAAGGGGAGAAAAGAGACGGAGAGAGAATTGCTATAAATAGACGAACTACAATTTGTTTTAATGGTGGTCTGCCTCCGGTTGTGGAATCGCGCGAATAAGCTGTGATTGATGATTTTTGCTGTAAATTACTTATGTCTTGTGAATCTCAGAATATAATTATGGAAGACGATTTTGTGTATTAACTTGTTTGTTAAACCACATTTGTGTTACACCCCCAAATACACAATAACACTGTGTCGATGACAGTGTGATCTGACTCCTACAACTGCGCATGCGGTAAACGATAAACACACACCAGGAACCATCCCACACTGTCACACCGGGCTTTGTCTTATACTCCAAAATCAATTATACACTACTTTTGAGATTTTCTATTGCAATCTAAATCACAATTACCCTAATAAATATTTAAGACACAAAATTTCAATACGTAGCTCTACTAATTTAAAAGGGTAAATGGCGTGAATTACCCACTGAGTGCGGGGGACCAGGGAATTCTCAATTCAACTCCAAATCTCACCCTACCCCCTAAAGTTCAAAATCGCAAGCGCCACTGATGCAAGATTGGGTAAATTTATTACTTATATCGACAGTCTAATCCCTATATTCTTACCCATTTAAGCCTGCGATGGGAAGGCTGATGGGTCAAGGGGTACTTGGATAGACGAACAGACAGGTAAATCAACACTACGAAGTCACTATACTATTCGTCCCAATGGTTTAATGATTCTATTTCAAAAGCCAAAACGGACCGTAATAAGGCTGAACATATGTGGCAGAAAACAAATCTAAATGTCGATTATTAATCTTTAAAAAACAATATGAATGAATTAATTGAAGACACTCTTCCGGACAATGACTTGCGAATTTATTTTTTGATTTCTTTCAAATAAAAATACGAACTTGATGATTTAAACAATCTAATTAAAATACAGATCTATAATTCGTTTCGTTTTTTATTCTTTCGATGGCCTACTACACTACATGTAGTAAAGACAAGTAAAAACGAAATTTTTAGCCTTCAAAACAGATATTTTATTCAAATGAGTCTGATTTGTAATGTTTTTAAAATTATGATATTTGATACCAATCAGCAAATAGATTGAACCCATACGATCATACAGATACCAGAAAATGGTTTCTAACTTGTACGGTTGCAGAGAAATAGAAGATTTTCTACAAGTCACTTTTCAAGCTTTTTGGTCTATAAAAGTGGCAATTATTATTCGATTTACATAAAATTTTCACCATGTGATGCCTTATGCCATTTCTGATTTCATAAAACTAATTGAACATTTTCATTATCACCGGAAGTACTGTACACTTACATGTAACAAATGTATAAAATGAATTGATATTGCTGGATTTGGTTGATTCGGCGTCCATTTTATTTGATGTGTGCAATGCTTATGTGGAAACCTGTTTAATGGTTTCATTGGTACCGGAAGTGACATGTTTAGGGTAACGTGGCACCGATGAAACCCGTCATTACTGCATCGCAGTTCTAGTTATTAAGCTTTCATATGTATAACATATGAAAGCTTATTGTTTCTGTTAAGATTATTATTATTCCTATTATTTTATTTTTTTTTGTGTCATTTCTACAAATCGGATTTCTCAGAATCTAACCATAGGATCAATCTGAAACTTTGACCTACCCCCCCCCCCCAAAAAAAAAAATGGGATGCGAATGTTGATTAAATATATTTCCAAATCGTTTTTCGAATCCGAAATCACCGAATTTTACGAACAAATTCATTTGACCTACATTACTGTAACTTTGTAACTATTTGACCTATTTTACTAATTCTTTTTTTGAGGGGTGCCTTGAAACATTTACTTAAAATCTGCAATTTCGAATTTTTGAATTTCGAAAATTCGTCGCTGTGATTTTGAACCGGAAGTTGAGATCAATTTGACAACTTCTTTAATAGTTGCACGATTTTCATGAAATTTAGAATGTAAGTAGATCTTATCAATGCGACTTCAAAAATATCATAAGAAATTTTCTAAATTATCTCCCCTTGATGAAATTAATAAATTGTATAAGGATCTAGCATTCATCAAGAAATCTAATCTCTATCGTGTTCGCCTGCTTGTTATCTCTCTGGGACAGAAATCTTATATTGCTGAAAATTAACAGGGGTCATCCTTGTCGCGAAACACTGAATATCGAAAATCCGTTAAAACACAAAATTTGAAACAAAACCGTTAAAACTGTAGGCTCTTCCGAGCTATTAAGGTTTTCGGGAAAGTGTGTGTACGTGGGTGGGGGGGGGGTAAACAACAGGTTGTGGGGCGCTGAGAATACGTTAAAACTACGCACACACATGAAATTACCCGAGATCTCGAGAAAATTTACACAGGATGGCAAGATCCCGAGAACATTAACTCCAATTCTCGAGATCGTTAACGCAGGATGGGAGATTCTCGAGAAATTTATTAGGGGATTTCGAGAACATTAAATTGAGATCTCGAGAAAGTATCACAGGATCGCAGGATCTCGAGGCCTTCTACAAAATTTTGCATGACCCGTATACGCTTCCGTATAAATGAAACCTTGGATCAGATATTGGATGATGAGGAAGACCTAAAATGGTGCCGATATTTTTATTCAACCCCCAGAATAAATAAGTAGGAGAATATGTCTGAATAAACCAGAAGAATTTTCCGTCACCTGTAATTTTTTAACGCCGGTTAAAGCGATTTAGTAAAATATACAGCAAAATGGGACTTTAGCCTACATGGGATTTTACATTTTTTAACGTTTGATATTTTATACAAATATAATTAGAAATGAAATAAATTACCTGATCTAAATAAAAACTAGTTGTTTCTTTGTTAAACCGTCATTATAATTTCCACTGCTATTGTTTATATTTTTATTAAAACATGTACCCTCTTGTGGGCAGCGTCCCATTTTTGGGACAGCCTTTGAAATGACCAAAATTAACAGATTTTTAAAATTTAACCGATTTTAAACTACCAAAACTTCAATTTCGTGACATTTTAAACATCATATTAAAAAATCAAACAAATTTGATATCTCGCCCAAGATTGGGTTAAGGATCAAAGTTTTCAAAAAAATCGACTAAATATAGTCAGATTGCCTTGATTTTTTTTTCTTTACTAGCTACGACACTACTGATTCGTACACAAAAAATTGAGTTTGTAGCTCAAACCGGAAATGCCACCATCTTGAAATGTGAAAATTACATAAGGCTTTTTTGATATTTTACTTACAGACAAGGCAATTATATTTTCCGAATCCTTGAAGGAAAGCCGAAAAACGGTAGAGAACACAATTTTGATTTCCGGCAAATGATGGACGCCATTTTGAATTGAAAATGACAATTAGTGAAAAATCCACATTTATGGGCTTGAAAACATATACAATTGGTCGTGACCTAGAGAATATGTCTCCTATTACCGAAATTAATATATTTCAGGATAGCCTGGATCATGGTCGAACGTTTGGTATTTGAATATTTCAAAAATTCGAATTTCTCCTTTGATGTTTTCCGTGCCGACAAGGTTGTTTTCGAGTTTAGCTGGATTTGACTTCGCGCATGCGCTACGCTGGAACCAAAGGTACCATGAGTACTTAATTCCGGCGAGCAACTTTTCACGTTGGTACCTAGGTACCCTGAAAATTTCAAGGTGATACCTGCATTCGTTCAAGTCGTTTGTTCTTGTCACCTGCCTTTCGTCGTTTTTTTTCGAAGTCAATTTACGGCTTCCATGAGGGGAAAAAAGTGGAATTTCGCCGTGACACCGGCACCGATTGTCCGAAAACCATGAAATTTAGACACAATACGCCCATTACCACCCCGGACTCTGTGCCTTACCCCCATTTTGATCCCATTAAAAAAAAAAGAGTTTTAGCAAAAAAACGATTTTCGGAATTTAATATTGGTTTTAACCCTGTACCCAGACAAGATATACATATTATTATAATCCCTATGAAATATTTTAATTATTTACTGCTATAATATGAATTATCACTTATTCCCCGTTAAATAAATATCGGTCACCGGGTGCAGTTGTACAACTTCAAGGACCCTGGCTTCAAGTCAATTTACGGCTTCCATGAGGGGAAAAAAGTGGAATTTCGCCGTGACACCGGCACCGATTGTCCGAAAACCATGAAATTTGGACACAA